CCCCCCCGGGGGGCTACTACAGCTGGCTTTGAAGAGGACAGGTAATACAAAAGCAGAAACAGGAGTTGGTATTTTTTGAAATACAATCTCTATTGTTGCCTACGCCTTTTAAAAGTTTGAGAAAAATAAAGCAGAATAAGGAAGTTATCCTTCTTTTGTAACGTGCCCACGAAACAGTACTCCATAAGTTAACGACAGTGTGGGCTACAGACTACCAATGGTCGTTTCTAAGCACAAAGGGGCTATCCCGAAAAATGCTATTTTGAGAAAATCGAAAGTAAAGTTTTACCCCTTGTTCAGTTTCTTTAAAAGACAAGGAGAGTTTCCTTTATATCTAAAGAAATATACACACCAAGGAAACCAAACGTCTCCTATAGGTAGGGCAATGCCATATTTTGGTGTAGGTCAAAATTACTGGAAACCCCCGAAATCTGGGTTAGCCCGCTTGTTCCTAAAAGCGACCAGTTAACTCTTATATATAAAGACCTAGCGTAGCGGACAAATAGGACAGACCATAAGCAGACCAAAAGTAATGTTGCGGAAAATTTGGAATCATCACACACAAAATCAGACACACAAGTTGGTATTTTTAGAAATGCTATGTTCTATTGTTGCCGTCCTTTTTAAAAGTTTTAGATTTAAAAAAAAATAGAACAGAATAATACTTTATTATCCCAGAGGGAAATTTTTCTTGGCTGTACAGGACCGTAAAAACACAAGCAGGTATACATACAAATTTTAAATTATATGTGAGGCAGCGTGGTGGAATCAGGCTGTCGTCAAAATAATCAAAGAGAAGAAACTTGCATTTTTCCGCAGGTTTGTGAATTTTTATCAAATTTTTGTTTTTAGGCTGAACACATTTCATGCCCATTAAAGAACTCATTTCTGTGTGGGTTTTTCTTTAAAATATTGATTAAAGGCACCCAAAATGTAAAATTTCAGTTACCACGGACTCTAAAGTTAAAGAAACACCTAATCTTTGGCGGCCATTTTCTCACTAATTTTACCTCTGAAAACAGGTGACCCCCACCTCCTTCAATCGCAAATATCTCGACTTGTATTCAAGACAAATGGATATTTTTTTCCATCCAAATAAAGACAAGGGAACACGCTTTAAGATAATACCAATAACTCTACATGCCCAAAAAGTGACGAGAGCCTGATTCCAGCACGCTGCCTAACATATTACTCTAATTAAAATTTAACATGAAAAGAGAAGTAAAGCTGACAAAATGTACATATCACATCAGATGCATCATTCAACCACATGCAGGAATTTGATTACAAGACCTCTGGAGTTATGTACTCGTCGATACATACTCGAAAGAACAAATACATATTATGCTTATTTTGACAAATATGTATGAATAACGAAGTTATGCTTCTGTATGACATTATTTTTATACGAACAGACAGACAGACAGACAGACAGACAGACAGACAGACAGACAGACAGACAGACAGACAGACAGACAGGCAGACAGGCAGACAGGCAGACAGCAGACAGACAGACAGACAGACATACAGGCAGACAGACAGACAGACAGACAAACAGACAGACAGACACACAGACAGACACACAGACAGACAGACACACAGACAGACACACAGCCAGACAGACAGACAGACAGACAGACAGACCGAGACAAAAAATCAAGGACAGAAATAGAAGAACGAACAGAGAGCAAGCAAAAGAGAAAGAGAGAGAGAGAGAGAGAGAGAGAGAGAGAGAGAGAGAGAGAGAGAGAGA